ATGGCAGCTAGTGTAGAACCTTCGGGTGGACTACTTAAATTAGACAATGACTAAAGTTGTACAAGTGGCTAGTTGTATACTCTTTCCATAGTTGCCCTCTGTGGTTGTAATGCAACCATTAGCTGAATGTACTATCAATAAAATCCTGGGTCGCAAATACTCACCTTAATATTTAAAAAAAAAATAAAAAATAAAAAAAATAAAGAAATAAAAATAAACCAGAAAAATCTAAAATATAATATATAAAAATATAAAATAAAAAATAAAAAAATATAAAATATAAAAATTAATTACTCGAATACAAAATTAGCAAAAAAAAAAACTAATTTTTATATAATCATTAATAAGAAACTCTCTAAACAGCACTAAGCAAAAAGAAGCAACACTTAAAAATATATTAAACAAGTTTAAAAACCTAAAGCAGCACAGTATTATTAGAGCAGTTACAAAAGAAAAGCAAAGTTTTTAAAAAAATTTTAGCAATCAAACAATAACTGTGAAGAGTGCTACTTGATTCTAAATATAAATTTGTTTTTAATATACAAAAGTTATATAGCAAATTAAGCAGTAACAATCATGTATAAATAACCAAATTAAGGTTAGATGAAGTAACATATAGCAATAAACAAAAAAACAAAATAAGGCAAACAAAGAATTTTCTAAAAAAGTACAACTATAAAAATAGAAATAAATAAAAGTTTGCCTAAAGAATATAGAGAAAATATTAAAGCAATTTGTATAAGAAGAGTGTACTAGGCAATGAGCAATACTCATAACAAGATTTTCTTCAATAAAGCTAGCAAAATATATGTGATGTCAGATAAAGAGAATAGAATTGTAGCAATGCTCACTAAGCAAGACCCAAATGAGGTAGCTTTTTTATGAATAACAAGAAAAATAATAAAAAAAACTAAAAAAAAATAGTTAGAAAAAAAACTAAACATAGTAAAGCAAATGCAAGAGGCAGTAGTGATAAAAGAAAAAGAAACACAACAATAAAAAGCTGTAACTATAAAAAACAAGAAGACCTACACAAAGCAACACAAAGAAAAAACACAGTTAATGAAGAACCAAATAGAAAAAAATTACAAAAAAATATTGAAACAGTTAAAAAAAGATAAACACAAAGTTAAGTTATTTAGATAATAAACAAACAGAAGTACAGCCTTTTATTCAAGAAAAGAAATGTGAGAACCAATTAGAAAAAACAAAAACAAATCATAACAAGTTTAAAGAAAGACATAAAACAAGACTTAATAAAATAAGATATAACAAGTTAAGAAAGAAATTAAAAAATTAAAAAAAAAATTAACATAGTCAGAATGCTACTTGAGAAAAGCATATAGGTACTAAGCAAAAGAAACTACAACTGAAATAACAGCCTACTTGCCAACATACTAGCACATAATGTGTCAGGATTAACAAAAAAAAACATATAAAATTCATTATATAGTTACTAAAAAACAATGAATATATTAAAGTCATTAAAGAAGTTTTTAAAAGAGGTAACTTGTAGATAAAAGTAGACTTTAATTGTAAATATAATAGAAAAGAAGCAATACAAAGAATTAGCAAAAAGAAGATGACTGATATAAACTAATATCAGAGAAGACAGAAAAGAAAAACAAAGATTATACAATAAAGAATACTAAAAAAAAAGAAACAGCACAACAAAAAATAATAAAAGATATACAACAGAGAAAAAAACAAGATCAAGACAGACTTAAACAGCTACAAAACAGATGAAAAGTCCAATGACAAGAAGTATATAATGATATGAGACTTGCCAACAGATATCAACAAAAGAAAGTTAGAATATATCTGTAGAAGATTCAAAAATGCCCAAGTAGTAAAAATTAAAAGATCAAAATACAAAGCACTTGCAATAGTGCAAATAGAAGAAGCCAAAAGAGAAGATATCTTATAGGTCAAATTGGTTAATAATAATAAACTAGTATAAATAACTAAAAGAAAAAAAAATATAAAATAAAAGAAAAACAAAGAAAATACATAGCAAAACTAACAGAACTATTCAAAAATGCTTTAGAAGTTTTACTGCTGCAATGTCTAATAAGCAAAGGTATAAAGTCAGTCTATATTCCTTCAAATAGAAATAAAAACTAAAGAAAAACAGTAATAGTTATGTTTGCAACAGAAAAAAACATAAATGCAACTTAAATAAAACCAATTTTGTACAACAACTTTAGAGTTTATTGGATAAATGAAAAGAAAAAAGAGACAAAATAGAAAAAAAAAACTCTTTTCAGTTCACCACCAGAACTTATAGAAATACAAAATTCCATATTCAAATGAAACAGTTCACTTTTTAAACTCAACATATTAGCAGATTTTGATTTTTGGACCTTAAATTTGTACCTCAAATTTGTATATGATTATATTAGGTAATCATTAAAACAAAAAAAATATATATATATATTTTTATTTAAATTTTTACTATTTGAACTAGTGTTTAACTAATCTTCCCAGGTGCTAACCAATCTCCCAACCCTTAGAACATATAAATAGACATAAAAGGTATTTATTATATATATATATTTATTTATATTATAAAAAAATACAAAAAACTTATTTTTTTTAGATTTAAAATGAGTACCGATCTTGTATATTGTCCTTTATGCCCACGAAAAGCATTTAAGAATCAACAAGGCTATCACAAGCATCAAAAAGATATTCATACTTCTAAAATTAACAACAAAAATTCTAAAGATGAATTAGTTAATAACTGTTTTCATTGTTATCTTTGTTCTAACAAAACATATAAAAATCAACAAGGATTAAGCCATCATGAAACAATCATTCACTATAATTATAATATACCACCAAAATATATAACTTAACTACCACAAGAAGCTTTAGATGAATTCAAGAATATATTAATCTATACTATTCAAAAACAATTAAAAAATAACATAAAGAATATAGAATTACAATCTGTAAAATTTCCATATTTGAAAAGTCAATTTGTTGGAATTTTTGGTAACTATCTTACAAGATATTCTTCAAGTCAAAAGTGGTATCAGTGTATATTTAAGGAAGAGAATGCAATAGAACTTGTTAGTCAAATACTAGGAAGAACAAATTGGAGTATACGAAGTTACTTATATGGACAACAAACGAACATTATCCTTATTTCATCAGATAGTACTATTAATAAAATAAAAAAGGATAAACATAAAAAACAAAAACAAATTGAGCTATATATAGAATGGAAACAATGTATAATTAAAGATGCTACAAATCAAATATCTATAATAGGATATATTACAATGCATTTTTTTATAGAACAAATTTATTTTGGTTAAAAATTGTTTTTAATATATTTTTTTTTGTATTTAAAAATAAAGATTTTAAATAAATAAATAAGTAAATAAATCAAAATTTAATGTTAATTTTAATAAATATAATTTTCAAATAATTCAAAACCACTTCATCAAAGTTGTTTTTTTCTAAACGTTTAACTAAACTATATATTCAGAATTATACAATAAATCGTACAACTTGACTAAAGTCAATTATGCAATAAATGCTATATAAATAATAATAAAAATTTATTTCTGCAAATATCTATTACAAAAAATAAATAAATACATATTTTTATCTCTATTTGTACCTGCTGATTTTGCTATAATGAATACCTTATTTTTATCCTTTTTAACTTCAATTTTGTTCTGTTTAGAGTATTCGCATCTGTCAATTTTTGATAATAAAGATAAATGCCATATTTATATCCTTTATAAATTCATAACAATAGCCAAACCAAAATGCTCCACCCAGATCACTCTTACCTGTTAATAATTCCAACCAGATCATTTAACTCTAATTTCATTCTATCTTGATCATTCATATTGCTGATTTTTGATATAAATGAATCCTTCAATTCATTCATCCTTCTTAATTCCAATTCGTATCATTTACAAGGATAAACCAGCCCAGTAACAGTTTACAGTGAGCAGTAAGTGCACTGATACTAATCGAATAAGCACAGATAAAGGGAGAGCATTGCCAATAAGTAACCCTAAAGAGAGTGCTACTCCAAAGGCCTCAATAGTAGCCATTGGGCTTAGAGTAAAGCTAAGTAAATGAGATAACATTAGTATGAGTTAAGCTTTACTAACAATCATAGGACTCTCAGTTAACTAAATTTTAGTAGTAAGAATATACCATCTTTACTCTTCATAAATTCAATTCCATTCAAACAAAAGCCAAGTCAAAATGTTTCATCTAGATCATCTTCATCTGTTCATAACTATGACTGAATTCATTCATATCTGCTAATTATTGATAATAAATAAATGCCCTACTGTTTATCGTTAACTCCAAATCCATTCTGTCTTGGTCATTCGTACCTGTTGATTTTTGTTAAAATGAATACCTCATTTTTATCTTTCATAACTCCACTTTTATTCTATACAGATAGTTCATATCTACTAATTTTTTGATAATAAATATAAGTACCATAATTATATTCTTCATAAATCTATCATTCTTACCTGCTAATAATTCCAACTGGATCATTCATTCATACCTGCTAATTATTAATAATAAATGAATGCCTTTTATTCTAACTTGTCTTGATCATTCATACCTGCTAAATTTGATATAAATGCATGTTTCATTTATTCTAATTCATATTTTATTTATATAATTTAGAACATTCTTATCTGATTATGATTCCGACTGATCATTCATTTATACCTGCTAATTATTGATAATAAATGAATGCCTTACTTTTTATCCTTGACTCCAAATCCATACTATCATGATCATTTGTACCTGCTTATTTTTGCTATAATGAATGCATTATTTTCATCCTTCCTAGCTCCATCTTCATTTCATTCAGATAGTTCACATCTACAAAATTTGATAATAAAAATAAATGCCATATTTATATCCTTTATAATTCAATTTTATTTATAACAATAGTCAAGCCAAAATATTCACCTGGATCATTCTTATCTGTTAACAATTCTGACTGGTTTATTTATTCATACCTACTAATAATAATGAACATTTACTTTTATCCTTCTCAACTCCAATTCCATTCATTTTGATTATTTGTATCTGATGAGTTTTGATATAAATGAATGTCTCATTTTCATCCTTCTTAACTCTAATTAACATTTCGTTTAGATCGTTTAGATCATTCACACTTGCCAATTTTTGATAGATGCCAATTTACATCCTTTATAAATCTGGTTCATTCATAATAGTAGCCAAACTAAAATGTTCTGTCTAAATCATTTTTACTTGCTCATAATTTCAACCAGATACCTGCTAATTACTGATAGCAAGTGAATGTTTTACTTGTTATTCTTAACTCCAAATCTATTATGTCTTGATTATTCATACCTGCTTATTTTACTATAATGAATGCCTCATTTCATTCTTCTTAACTCCATTTTCATTCTGTTCAGATAGTTCACATCTACCAATTTTTGATAGTAAAAATAAATTTCATATTTTATATACCTGCTTAAAGAACTGAAAAACAAATAGATCCAGCCCAAATAACAAATGAGACAAAAAAAATTATTGAAGGTCATGATAAAGGAAAGATTGCTGAAATGTTATTTTGTGATTGTGGTTGGCCATATCCTTCATAAACCCAATTCATTAACAATAGTCAAGCTAAAATGTTCTGCCTGGAACATTTTTACCTGTTAACAATCCTAATCAGTTCATTTATTATACCTACTAATTATTAATAATAAATGAATGCTTACTTTTATTTTTTACTCCAATTCTATTTCTCTTGCTGAGTTTTGATATAAATAAATATCTTATTTTTATCCTTCTTAACTCCAATTCCATTTTATCTAGATTGTTCATACCTGCCAATTTTGATAATAAAGATAATGCCATATTTACTATTAATACATCCAATTCTATTCGTAACAATAGCCAAGTTAAAATGTTTCATCTGGATCATTCATTCATACTGGCTAATTATTAATAATAAATGAATGCACTACTTTTTATCCTTAAATCCAAATCAATTCTGCTTTGATAATTCACACCTGCTGATTTTCTCCATAATGAATGCCTTATTTTTATCATTCTTAACAACACTTCCATTCTGTTCAAATAATTCACATCTACCAATTTTTAATAACAAAAGATAAATGCCATACTTACATCTTTCATAATCCAATTCCAAAATGTTTTGTCCAGATCATTTCCACCTGCTAATTTTTTACATCTTAATTTCATTCTTACTCCAATTCTATCTCTTCTGATCACTTATGCCATTAATTTTAGATAATCAATAAATGCCTTATTTGTATTAAAATTCGCTACTTAAATGTTAAATTTAGTAATTTAAAGTTACAAAAATACTATTCAAACTATTTATAAGTTCATAATTAGTGTATATAACTGGCATGAATAAAAAAAAAATTTAAAATAGTTAAAATATGACCAACCTTAAATTGTTACATAGAATTTACATGTTCATTAACTAAATTAATAATATTACAAGGATAAATTAAAAATTGATAAAGGAATTCCATTATGTTAATAATTATGAGATACTATTAATAATGTGAAGTTAAAATATTATAAATTACAATAAGTTCAACTAGAAAGACCTACCTTTGAATATGCAGTGTTTAATTAATTGCTATCATAATAAATTAAATTTTTCACTTGAAAAATTTTAAACTGATATCTAATAACTAAAAGATTTCTAAAGCCTAATTAATGCATTAAACATTTAATTAATTGATAAAATATTGTTAGGGTACATCTTAGAATATTCATAGCAAAATATATTCTATAAGAATTAAAACTATTTAATCATAAAAAAAAACTAGCATACATGCTGATGGTTTTTTTTTTCAACCCCAGAACAAGAGAATGCCACCATTCCAAATTAGTGATATTCATTTAAGAATTCTGATACATGAAAAACTAAAATGTGAATATATGGCATAACATCTGCTAGTCGGAATAACCCTTTTTTAAAGGTATGTGTATTATATTGTCCAGTTGAAGGGGTTAAAAATAATTGCAACTATGTTTTAGCCTTTTTTAAAAAAATATTACCTGATACATTAGAGTTTTTAAGATTTTCATATAATTCATAGAAATTACTTCATAAATTTTGAATTAAATTGGCTCTTTCTTCAGAAAAAATTGTTTCAAGATTAAAATTTTTCAATACAATAAGCTTGTCTTCACCTATAAGCAGAGTCGAATTCCAGTTTGAGTTTTCTTGTCAGTAATGAAATTTAACTCCAATATTTTTCATTTTATTTATAATTTTTTTTTGTATATCATTATCAAATCTATTATTTGTCTTTAATTCAGCAATTAATAAATCCTACAATTTATCTGTAATACATAGCATAATGTGAAGCTCATCAGCTATCCAATTCTTTATTGGAATCATTGAGAAAAGTGGTTTATTATTATATCCTGGAGTCATAGCCTAGTTATTAGCAATGTTTTCTATATTCTTTGAAATATACCAATCACTATTTTCTGGATTTATATAGCCAATTGTATTTTTTTTGCAATTACACTATAGACAAAAAGCATCGCAATTAGCTGCCTTGTGGCCTAAACACATCACCATAAATTTCCAATCAGCACTTAAATAAAGTTCTACATTCTATTTTCTTCTTTGATAATCTATAAACCTAGTTTTAATATTATTAAGATCTTTTATCAATAATTTTGTTGCTAATTTTAATGTTTCATAACTTTCAATACCCAGATAAAGTATTAAAGTATAATGATAATCGGGTTCATAATAATTTAATGAATTGTTTAAAAGCGTAAATATTACCATAACATGTTTAATTTTTTTTCCTACATTATGCCTATCACCAGAAAGTTGAATTCTTAAAACAGAGTTTTGAATGCTTAAGCCTCCATTTTCTAACCATGCTGGTATTGTATAGTTAAGTATATCTTTTAGTGATCGATAGATTCTGTTTTCTATTTTATAATTTTCTTTTTCATAAAAACTTTCATCTATTAATTCTTCAAGATCAAATGTATAAACTTTAATTGCTTGAGACATTTCAGCTGTAATTTTAGCTCGCATTTCTGATATTAACCATTCTCAAGGTAAATGATGTTCAATTTCAGTTAATGATCGTAGAGCTTCTCGTGTAATTTTATAATGATCCATAGCATAAATTATTGATTTTGCTTGAAGCTCCTCTGTATATTTATCTAATATTCTGTAATTAATAATATATTGTTTATTATTATACTAAATAAAACTTGCTTTAATAAAACATTATCTTCTGAATTAAATAATGTTTTTAAATTTTGATCCACAAAATCTTTAATCATATTTCTAAATTTTTGTCCACATATTTTTTGAGATGAATTTGCTAATTGATTAAAAGGTTTTAAATTATGTTTTTTATGTTTATTTTCTCGAATCTTTTTAATATTTTGTAATTGTAATCCAAAAATTTCTATTCTATTAAATCAAGTAGAACCACATAATTTAATTGGATTTTTTAATTTAGCTATTTTGTTTAATACATCTTTATACAAATTAGCTGCTTCACTGGTGGATTTTTTTGATTCAACAACTTAATCTTTAAATTCAATACGATATAAAGGTTTGTTATTTATATAATTAATTAAACTTTTAATTATTTGTTGATTAGATCTTTTGCCAAAGATTGTTTTTACAATATATTTATCAGGTATTTTATATTTATTAGGAGGAAATGTATATGCTAATATAGGTGATAAAGGATAATAACCTTCTTGTATAATTTCATAACTAAAACTATATGTTTTAGTTTGAGCTTTTATAATAGGATTTTGTGGATATGTATTAGTTTCTTGATATCATGCCATAATTGTATAAAAAACAATTTTTGTTATAATGTTTATTTATAGTATTTATTTGTAATACAGTATATAATAGTATAATTATAGTCAAATGACTGACGCATATTTTTAAATGTATAATATGTATAAAAATTTGATGATCAAAATCAGCTGATATGAGCAAAGAGAGATACATAACTCCCAAAAAGCACAAACTATTATCAGCAAACATGAGCAGACTTTTCAGAACAAAAACAGACAAAGAAAGAGTCTTTAAACTTTCAAAAGTTGAAGAAAACAAAGAAAATAAAGAAAATATTACAGTTTTGAAAACAAGCAATATCACAAACTTTCAACAGGTCAAAATATGAAAACAACTGTAGCAACAAATGAAACTAGCTCAGACTGGGCCAGCCAAACAGAAAATGAACTAGAAGCCAAAAAAAATATTATTATTATTAAACACAGAAAAAACAACAATGAACAAAAAGACAAAAAAAAAACACACCAAACCAGAAGCATATGCCTGAGCCAAACAACCAAATGGATGTGTCAAAATTTGATAAACAGAAACATGTGAGCATCAGTACAGCAATCAACTATGAGAACCCCACCAGTCAGCAACCAATTACATCTTTAGAAAATCATAAAAAGAAGAATACACCAAACAAAGATATAACAAATAATAGTACAAGACCAAAACAATGGTCTGAGCTATTTACAAGACTTAAGGGAGGAAAAGCTATTTTCACAAACTCTTCTCCTAGCCAAAAAATACACTCTAAAAATGAAAATGCTCTTATACTAAACATCCAAAGCTTAAACAACATTTCTACTAATGATATAATTACAGCTCTAGCTGCTAGTTTGGGTGAAGATCTTATAGCAGCCAAACTACATATGTCAAGAGAAAAATAATCATTTCTTGAAGTGGTTTTTAAAAATAAAGAAGCAGTTCAGCTTTACACAGCTAATGGAATCTCCCTCTTTAAACAAGCTCTTTTTGGATACATTTCAATCAATCTAAATTGATCTTTTTTTAGTTAAACTTAAAAATATGCCTATAGGAGACACCAAAATGATCAGTCACCAAGTCCTTGAGGCTTTTTGAAATATAGGACAAATCATATTAATTAAGCCTCTACTTTATGAAAATACTACAGTTTGTTCAGACCAATGGTTAGTTACATTTGAAACTACAGAGAACCCTGAGGTACCAACTAGAATACCTCGAAGCACCCATATTGGTAATCACAAAATAACAACTGAATGGAAGGAAGTACCAAAAATCTGTTTTTACTATGAAATGAAGGGTCATTTCAAGAGAGACTGCAAAGAACTGAAAGCTTTAATCGAGATCAGATAGCAATTAAAAGAAACCAAAGAGTATAGAGAAAAAATCAGAACTCAAACATCTTATCTCCAGAAACAAGCTTTAGCCATAACAACCCTACATCAACATCTCTAAAATTAAGAAACAAATAGAGAACTTAACAAATGCAATAGACACAACTTCAGATCCTATTTCTGATAACGAAGCAATAACACTAGAAGATACATCCTCAGAAACAGAAAACATCAAAGAATTTGAACCTATTACTGCTATGGCAGATATTAATGAATCAAACAAAATAGAAACAGAAGGAGCTAAGCCAACAGTCAGCTTAGCTAACATTGAAAACAATACAGAAGAAATACCTTTCACTACAGTTATCTATAGAAAACAAAAAACTAAAGGCAAAAGAAAGGAACAAGCAAGAATAAGTCACCCCTACAAGAATGAAGGAGGCTCCCTACTGAGCTGTCTACAAAGAGTTTAACACAAGATTAATAAAGTCCAGTGTAGCTTCAATCAACTCTCAATTTAACTAATAATCAAAATTGCTACATTGAACATAAAGGGCTTAAACAACAAGCCTAAAGCACAAAAAACTTTTACTTTACTAAAATCATACAATTTAGACATAATCTTACTACAAGAAACCAATTTAAAAGACACCTTCTTAAAAAACTTTCTAGCTAAACAATGGGTTTTGACTCCATTTGGTCTTCCAAAACAGTGATACTGGCTGGAAAAAAAAATATCAAATTAACAAACATGAAAGAATCTCTAGATGGACGAATAACTACAGCTAAAACAGAAATTAAGCAATAATATTTTCACTTTACAAATGTCTACACACCTCCTAAACAAGAGAACAGAGTCTCCTTCTTTAAAAAGTGGGCACCTATTAAGGATGAAGAAAGCATCTGCATTATAGGTGGAGATTTTAATACAAACCTAAACTCTGAAAAAAACAGAATAAGCCAAGCAACAGCACAAAATGATAGTTCCAGAAAGCTTATAGAAAACCTTATAACAGACTACATTGATACAGCTATCTGCTCCAAGGAAGAACCATTTCTTATATTTTACCAATTTACACATGAGGGCAACCAGACTAGACTACATCTACATTGAAGACAGCTATAGTCACTTATGCAAAAACACCTTCACACATTATGGTAACTCAGACCATTTATTGGTTGAATGTGAGCTTAGCCTAAAATCTAAGCACAACAACAACCCAATATGGAGGTTTGATAAAAAATGCTGGAGCATTCCAGAACTCAAGTCTAGCATAATACAAGAGCTACAGAACATCCACAACACAGCCAATTGGGATCTGCACAAGTGCTCAATCCAATCCATAATAAGATCATTTAAAAGCCGACCCTTGCCAGAAAAACCCTGATCTGGAAGAGCTTAAGCTAGTTATTGAAGGCCTGAATGTAGAGCTTCAGGAATAACTAATCACAATATTAGACAAATGGTGAGTAAGATCTAATGCAAAATGGATAGAGGTGAGGGAAAAATCAACAAAATACTTCTATTCATTATACAAAATCAAGCATTCGACAAACTGCAGCTCCAAAATTAATGACCCAAATAGCCTAAACAAAGCCTCACAAATACAAGTCATGAACTTCATCAAGGAGTCCTATCAAAAATTATACAAAAGTGAAGAAATCAATGAAGAAGCTGTAGAACAAATTACAAACAACCTGACAAAGATTACATTACAGCAAAATGAACTATTGGAAAAACAAATAACAAAAGAAGAAATTGGTCAAATAATTGACAATCTTTTAAACAATAAGGCCCCAGGAACTGATGGCCTAACATATGAATTCTACAAGAATATGAAGAAAATAATTCTTTTAACAC